TAGACATTTTTACATACATACATGCATACATACATACAAAAATGAATGAATTAATTAAAAACCCCAACACCCTCCCTCTGCATATTTCACATATCACATAAATAATAGCTATCACATTTCAAATAACACACTGTTTAATAAACACTTTAAAAGGTAACAAAATGCAATCAAAGTTGCAAACCTTGTCAAACTCATATTAGTATGTGATGGTGAATTTGTTGGCTATTATAAATGAATAAATGAATGAATAAACTTGACCCCCTTTCCCATAATACATAAATAATATATAAATAATATCACATTTCAGATAATACAGTTAACTGAATATGCTATAATAAATAATCTGCAACATAGCCTACTTAAGATGTTAAACCTATATTAATATGCTATAGTATATGGTTTGTTGTCTGCAAAATGTGAATTTACGTATTTATGTTGGCTAGTTCAAATAAACAAATAAATTAATAAATTAAATCCAAGTCCAGACACCCTCCTCCCTCTTGTTATCGTTGAATCTTTTCCCATAATGCAACAGTCAATAAAGGAAGAGGGAGAGAAACGGGCTGTAGCCAAAGTGGCTAGTGGCTAGCAGCTAGCACAAAAAAGAGGAAGAGAGAAATGGAGCCGTCATAAAACTTTAAGGAATGTTTCTCTCATCAAACGGGCAAATACAGCTGAGGAGAAAACAGCCTCGGCTCTTCACGTGCATGAGATGATGACAGACCATCAGCAGTGGGTGTTTATGCAGTGAAACAGCTCTGGTTCGTGCGAGGGAGCTGTTAGATTAGATTAGCAGCTAGCAGTCTGTTATTAGCACGCTAATGCTAAATGCAATCCTCGTCTTCAGATTTACAGACACATTCGACCCAGATCCATCTTTCTGAAGGAAGAGAGGGGAATTAAACTCTATTTAAAGTGGTAAGTGGGTATAATTTGTTGTATGTACGACGTTAATATTTACACTCTCTATTTGTGTCCGATATGATGAAGGTCCCGTAGCCTGCTAACGTTAGCCAAGTCAGCTCATTTTAGGCCTGTTTTCCTTTTCTTTTTGCGAGACAAAGTTACAGAGATTGATCTGACAGTCCAAACTTTAAAACGTATCATAATTGATTAATCTTTAAATTTTGTAAGTTCTGTGTTGCTTTATGGTTATTGAGTTAACGTTAGATACTGTCGTATCATATGAAAGCTAAATGTGTTGATATAAAGGCCTGTGTCAGTTTTGCAGTAAACTGCTGTTTTTGAGGATTATAAGAATGATTATAAGTAAATGCATTCAAAGCAATAATTGTTGGTTTTAAATTTTGTGAAGGACGTAAACTGATCTATTGATTAAGTTCTGTGTTGCTTTATGGTTATTGAGTTAACGTTAGATACTGTCGTATCATATGAAAGCTAAATGTGTTGATATAAAGGCCTGTGTCAGTTCTGCAGTAAACTGCTGTTTTTGAGGATTATAAGAATGATTATAAGTAAATGCATTCAAAGGTTTTAAATTTTGTGAAGGACGTAAACTGATCTATTGATTTCATATCAACATATTATTTATAACCGCCTTATTATCCTTCGAGATTGCACCTCGTGTTGATTTGAGCATTGTAAAATTTAAATCAAGCGATAAACATCAGATGTCAGAGCGGACAGCTTTGTAACATTATATATTACAGTGTAAACCTGTGTCAAGGATCTATAATGTTACACGTTTGAAATGTAAACTTAAACTCATCAGACAGCCTACTTTAACATCAAATATGTATCAGAAGTAAATTTCAATGAGAAGTGCAAAACCGTTAAAGTACTAATGTTGTTTTTGTAAATATAAGCATTATGAATAAATGTAATTTGTAGAATTGGCATTGTAAATTAGATGCATTAAAAACTAGATAATGATTATCTAGTTCAGGGGTGCCCAACCCTGCTCCTGGCGATCGACTGTCCTGCAAAGTTCAGCTCCAACCCTAATCAAACACACCTGAAGCAACTAATTAGGGTCTTCAGGATCACTTAAACATTAAAGGCAGGTTTCTTTGATTAGAGTTGGAGCTAAACTTTGCAGGACAGTCGATAGCCAGGAGCAGGGTTGGGCACCCCAGATCTAGTTAAAGGAGTAGTTCACTTACAGAATAAAAATTTCCTGATAATTTACTTTCCCCCATGTCATCCAAGATGTTCATGTCTTTCTTTCTTCAGTCAATAAGATACAGTAAGATCATGAACAAAGTAACAAAGTAAAACAAACTGACAAATACAATAAAACAAATATACAAATTAAATGAAATAAACAGTGCTTTAATTCTTCCATGAAGTTCTACTAACATTACTGTTCAGTTAAGTAATAGCCTACAAAAGAAATCTAAAAGTAATCAAATGTAAATGAACACTGCATAGTTTTCATTGTATTTATTGATAGATTAATGCTTATTAAAGCTATAACGTTATTCAGATTAAGAGCAGATTTGCATTTTGATGCCCAAGCGCCAGTCTGTCACTTTAAGACAATATATTGACACACATCGGATTTTCTCGCAACTGTTCTCCTCCACTTAAGACATAAACTGTGTTTAAGTAAATACTCTGCAAGCCGGCAGTTTTGACATTTTTGTGTGTATTTGATCAATTGGACATGCGCCCGAAGCTCAAAGTGTAATTTGTTTGTCCGTTTTGGAGCGCGCGCACATTTCAGTCTGAGGAACAGCGTCTCTTGTGTGGACATTTCAGCCTGAGGAACAGCGTCTCTTGTGCGGATTGTGCTTTCAACGTTTTATTATCAAACATGTCCTGCAATTTAGCAACAGTAAAGACGGCATCTTACAACCATCACCGACTGAGCTGATTCTGACGTTAAGTTTGGATTTTAGGGAGGAACGAATGCGCACCGCTGTGAAGGGAAGAAGTTGCGCAAGACGAAACGCAGCTAGTTTTTAATAGCTTTACCTCATGTCTTCTTTTGTATACTCATTAGAAGCCAAAATCGAAATAAAAAAATAATAAATTGTAATGCCTTTTTTCCTGATTGTTTTGCGATCACATCTTTTGTTATGTTCACGTATTAAACTGAGACAATGCGGGCGCATCAGAGTTTTAGTGGGAAAAAAAGAGTTTCAAACAGTCCTTATCTCTGCTGCACAGCAGCATTGTAGCACACCTGCTAAACGCAGCTCAGTTGTGCAGCGCGACAGAGATTGAAATGATGGACACGTGCGAAGTGAAAGTGCAGAAAACAGTGTCTATTTCGTGCACAACTTGAACAAACTACAACATGTAAAGCTGTCAGCTGTGTGGATATTGGCAATATCGTTAACAATTCTCACTTATAATCATTACTAATATGGCTTCTTCTTAACAAGATCTTAGTCTATGCTTTGTTCTGTTAATGCGTGAACTTTATATTATTTGAAGTTCACTTGCCGTCCAGTAATCGCAAAAAGCTTTGTGCTTTGTTACTTTTTAATAAAAAAAGTATCGGCTTTAAAATTATTCCAAATTCATAACGAAATTCAAACAATAAATACAGTTTTGTTTTTTGCTCTTTAATGCGGCAGGCGCGTTTAGCTAGAAAAACAACTATAAAGAGGAGCATTTTGCTATATTTATGCGCTATTGCATATTAACATTTTTACTTAACCTGTTGTCTACATGATTCAACTCCCCCTATAAAATTGCATTTTACTATTTAAGTAAAACAGACTGAAAGTGTGAAAGACATACACTCTTAAAAATA